AAGGACCATAACATTGTATCAATCACATCTGCTAGAAAAATGACAAGATGGATAATGAGAACCTTCAAAACTAGGGAGGCCAAGCCCATGATGACACTCTTAAGGTCACTTATTCTATCTAGGCTGGAATATTGCTGCACACTAACAGCACCTTTCAAGGCAGGTGAAATTGCTGACCTAGAAAATGTACAGAGAACCTTCACGGCGTGCATAACGGAGATAAAACACCTCAATTACTGGGAGCACTTGAGGTTCCTAAACCTGTATTCCCTGGAATGCAGGCGGGAGAGATACATGATTATATACACCTGGAAAATCCTAGAGGGACTAGTACCGAACTTGCACACGAAAATCACTCACTACGGGAAAATTTATGGAATCAATAATTGCCGAGGCAGTTCGTAGCCACCTTGAAAAGCATAAATTAATCAACGAATCTCAGCATGGTTTTACAAAGGGACGTTCTGCTTACGAATTATTAACTTATTTCACTAAGGTATTGAGGAGTAGATCTGGTTTAACGAAATATGATATTGTGTCATATGGACTTCATAAGGCTTTTGACAGGGTCCCACATCAGAGACTATTGAGGAAAAATTAAAGCACATAAATAGGAGGAAAATTTTTTTTTCCGGAAAAGAGGCATGGTTGCAAATGGCAGCAAGAGTTTGCATAAATGGGGAGAAATCAGATGGGGAAGGCACGAGGGGTGTTCCACGGGGGTCATGGGGGCCCCCCCTGCTGTTCACAATCTACAAAAACGACATAGATGGGGAAAAAAGGCGACATGGGAAATTTTCCCGATGACACCAAAATGGGCCGCGAATTCATTCGACGGGGACATTCGAGCACTCCGGGAGATTTAAAAGATGATGCCAGGGCAGAATGGCAGATGCAGTTTAATATAGACAAATGAAAGTTCTAAATTGGACAGGACAATAACCTGCCACATATAAACTAAATAATGTAGATCTTAATTTTACATTGCGAAAAAGTTTTTTTGGGATTTTCGGGTTTTAGCAGTAATCTAAAACCAAGACAACAGTGCATAGTGTTCGCAAAAAACTAATAGAACCCTTTGCTTCAAACAAAAGCAAAAATAATAGACCCCTCAGGTTGTTCTTCAACTCTAAACATCCTTGGTTAGGCCTCTTTTAGATTTGCTGAAATTTTTTGGTCAGTATTACAAATGGATAAAATTCTCGGGAAAATGTAAAAAGGAGGAGACAAAGATGATCCCATGTATCAAAACCCCCTATGAGATAGACTAAGGGCCCTGAAACTGCAAACTCTCTAGAAAGACGTAAATTAGGGGGATATTTGAGGTTTATAAGGGGGAAAACGGGAAAAATAAAGGGGGATGTAAATAGTGTGCTGAAATATCTAGCCAGACGGGCCGCAGCAAGGGTTTTTTAATTTGGGAAAAATCAGATTCAGGAGGGAATGGGAAATACGGGTTTGGTAATAGATTGTGGATGAGTGGAACAAACCCCCAAAGTACCGTTTAGAGGCCAGAACTTGTGTAGTTTTAAAAATGGGTTGGGAAAAAATACATGAGTAATGTGGGGGGGGTGTGATTGACCTGATCTTGGCTAACGGGTCGGTTGCCGTGTTCCTCCCCTTTAGTAATGTGACCTACCTATAGGTTGGGTGCATTGGCTTAAGCCGGGAGGGGCTTTGGCCTCCTCGCATGGGCCAGTAGGCCCGCGTGTTCCTTCTTCTTATTTCTTATGTTCTTATGAAAGCAAAAGAATTGGCAACGATGCAACTCCCCCCCCAAAGAAAAGCGGGGGGTCACACACGTTTAAAAGACCAACAATAAGTGTCAGGGCCCGAGACTGTTTAAAGCCTCCCCGCATACGTAAGGGGGATTTTCCAACAGCCCCGGGGTCTTTTAAGCTGGCACTGGACAAGCACCTAAAGCGGTTCCCGACCCGCCGGGGTGTCTCCCTACGTTGGGTTTTTGTCAGCCGCAGCAACAGCCCGGTTTATCAGGCTTATCCACAAGGCCTGGTCACAGACCGGGTCGCGGGGGGGGTTGGACCCCCCGGAACTTCTCCCGGTAAATTCCAGGATACGGGGTGGGTAATGCAGCGAAATACGAAAAATAGTGAGGACGGAAAATTTAGTGCTAGAAGAAGGGGACTTTATTAAAGGTCCCCCCAGGAAAAAAGGGTCTGAAAAAAACAATAAAATTTTAGCCTGAAATAGGATAGATAATGGGAGAGTGTAAATTTTGGTTCCTGAAGCCCCCCCAAAAACCAACAGGGGAAAACGGGGGGGGGAAACAACATCTAAGCCACCCCGATTATCCCGAGGCTGCGAATATTCCACTGTAAATAGGCCATGATTGGCAACGATAAAGATACCTGAAATCTGCAGGTAAGGGTACCTACGGACTAGAGGGGTTAGAAAAGTCCACATGCGGTGGCAAAGGAAAACGTTCAAGTAGCGAAGGAACGGTGCGTTGTGAAGAAAGGAGTTGCGCAGATGGAGAAGAGGAAAGAGAAGGAACAGAGGGTGGATCAGTGTCCATTGATGGTTTGGTCTCTGCAATATATTCAGAGATTGCTTCAAGTGTTTCAGAGTTCAGAGACGTCATATGGGAGACAATATTGGAGATGGAAGGAGGAGGAGTTTGAGTAAAGATTGGAGCTGGGAGGTGGCAGAAGAGGAAGAAACTTGGGAGGGGACAGGGAAGGAAGGCACAATACGAGGAGGAGGATGAACCTCCACACTTGTAACAGAGCCAGTGAAAGGGGAAGACTCAGGTACGGAGACTGGGAAGGTAAAATGTGGAGGTGGATGAAGAGAAGGAGGGGTTAAAGGAGATTTTTTGGGCCTCTGAGATTGGGAGGAGGTGTCGTACGAGATCTTGTCGATACCGGGGTTTGTGAGGGAGGACACGAAGAAGCGAGGACAGACTGAGGAGTTGAAGTAGGGACGTCTGAGCCCAGGACAGCAAAAGAATTAGATACAGGAGTGACTATGGGACTGGCAACAGCAGAGAAGGCTGCAGAAGATGTGACCCCAGAAGTGGGGGGACGCTTTGAAACACGAGAATAAGAAACATGGGGCAGTCTCCCTTGGAGGCAGAGATGAGAAATCGCCATAGCATAAGAGAGACCTTCTGCCTCTTTGAGGCAACGGATTTCCCGCTCATTTAAGTAGACTTGGCAACGGCGAGAGTACGAAGGGTGAGCCTCATGACAATTAAGGCAAGAGGGAGTTCGACTGCAAGACGTATTAGAATGGTCATCGGCACCACAGACTGGGCATTCGGCTATAGATCTGCAATATTTTGCTGGGTGGCCAAATCGCCAGCAATTCCTACACTGTTGCGGTGTAGGGATCACCTTCCGAACTTGTAACCTATGTCCTGCTACATAAACAGAGGATGGGAGTTCACGGCTGTCAAAAGTTAAACGAGCCACATTACAACGGTATTGTCTTCGCCCACGGGCAGGAAGAACATAAGTGTCTACCTTGAGAATTGGGAGATCTTGGAGTTCCAGCTGTTTGAGAATGTCAGTGCCACATGTCTGGAAATTCTGTTGGACTATGGTATGGGGCAGAGTAACAGTACCACTACAAGAATTGAGGGAATGATGTTTTTCGATAGTGATAGGAATAGTATCGATATGTGAAAGAAGGGAAAGATCATGAGCTTGGGTAGAATTCTGGACTGTGATGATGCATGTACCACTCTTAATAGCATGAAAGGAAATATTTATCTCTACCAACGTGGCGTAGGAGCGCTTTGCCAATACTATGGTCGGAAAGATAGGCAGTAGAAGAAGTCGGTCTTAATGTAAAGAATTTAGTCCATTGTGTGGTCTGAAACTGAGTGTGGAGAGGGAGTGCATGACATGTCAGTCTTTTCCGAGTAGAAAGGGAAGGTAACGAAGTAACATCGTTAGGAGATTGTCGTTGACGTTTATAAGTGGGATGAGAGTCTGTCCGACATGGGACGGGCCGGCAATTCAAAAATCGCCACACCGTAGAAGGAGAAGCCGGAAGCATAGTCAAAGGAGAGCGGAGGTCAGACAAATCGAAGGAGTCAGTGGAAGCCCCGGTACCTGAAGCGGGTGAGGAAACAGCACCAGCAAGAGGTACAGGGGCCTTAGGAATGTCCGAAGAGTGGCCAAAAGACGAGGCGAGGTCAGAATGGGGTACGGTAACAATAAGGGGCCCGGGGGTAGCGGGGTCATGGATCGGGTACTCCATGGTTAGGTTACTTCTTTCTTTTAGTTTTTAAGAAAAAAAAGAAAGAAGAAAATAAAAATAAAAAAAAAAAAGAATAAAAAAGGGGGGACCAGGGAGGGATAGTTCCTAGGAGGAATGAAAGGGCCAGAAATCTCCCTCCGCGCCCAAGAGGACCTCAGCACCGCAAGTAGCGCAGATGCAGCATGGAACCTGTGCCATACCCTACCCATCATGCCAGTAAACCAGCAATCTGGGATAGCAACCTCACATCTGCCGAGCTACCTCGGTGGACAAAAGAGAGAGCGGCCGGATATCCACCACAAAGCATACCTCCTTCGGCCACCACCCCCGGAATCTGAAAGGTGGCATTCAGAGATACACCCGTCGTCCGAAAGACACCCAAAGCCACCCTCCGGGATACCGGAGAGGGATCGGGACATCCCCAGGCAATCCAGATTCCATGGCAAACTATGCCACCGCCAAGAACCTCAACGGAATGGGATGGACCCCGGTACCCTTTCCCCTACCTAGGAACTAGCGCGCCTGTGGGAAAAAATCCCAAAGGCCAAAAAGGAAAGGGCAAAAGGGAGGGGTGGGGAGGAGGAGGAGGAAAGGAAAAAGGGGAGGATGGGAGAGGGAAGGGGGATTGGGGGGTAATTAGGTTCGGTCTGAGGAAGGAGACCGACAGGTCTAATTCCTCAGACCAAAAGCCTCTTCACCACGCCAAGGAGCCCCCCTTGAAGAGGAGTAACATTTGTAGAGCAAGAAAATCAAAGGTAGAAAAAAATTACATATGAAAGAAAAGTTATTATTCCTTTTTTTTTTTTTTTTAATTTGGAGATACAATGGAGTATGCTGGTTTTATCCATGTGTGGTAATAATTGAATTTCAATGACAAGAACAAATTTAAATGTCAAAGCATGCATTACTGCAACAAAGTGAGATAAGTAAAGACAGGGCAGTGAGAAGAAAATATAATCACACTATTTCTGAGAGGGGAACCAAGTACAATATTTGAAGTGCAAAGAATATCTAAGAAAACAAAAGAATGGTTACAGTTATGTGGAAAAAATTTAATCCAAATCAAGAAAATTACAGAATTAAATAGTCTTACCAAATAACTTGCATCAGATCAAGGGACTTACAGTTCTAGTGGTGCAAATGATACTGAGATTAGCCAAAACTTGTAGTTACCTGCCCAGAACAATATCAAATGCCCACTGGGTGTTAAGTTGCTAAAATCATTTCATTCCAGTGAATATGCAGAGACAATGTTAGTAAATAACAAATGGCAAGTAATTTCTCTAATTCCTGGATGTGTTCTTCACTCTGGGAATTATCCATCACTGAGGGGTGTTCCATCTGGGGACTATCCATTCCTGATGGTGTTTCTTCTGAGGACTGCCCATTACTGTCGGTATTCCCTCTGGGGACTACCCATTACTGACGGTGTTCCTTCTGGGGACTGCCCATTACTGACAGTGTTCCCTCTGGGGACTGCCCATTACTGACAGTGTTCCCTCTGGGGACTGCCCATTACTGATGGTGTTCTCTCTGGGGACTCCCCATTACTGGTGTTCCCTCTGGGGACTACCCATTACTGATGGTGTTCCCTCTTGGGACTACCCATTACTGATGGTATTCCCTCTGGGGACTGCCCATTACTGATGATGTTCCCTCTGGGGACTACCCATTACTGACAGTGTTGCCTCTGGGGACTATCCATTACTAATGGTGATGCCTTAGGGAATTATCCATCACTGAAGGCATTTCCTCTGGGGATTATTTATCAATGAAGGAGTTTACTGGGAGAATTTCCCCTAAACATTTGTCAATCGTTTTCTTACCTATGAACTGCATCATGTTGAACTGACACACTGCTTGAATCATTACATATACTGTACATAAAGACAATCTCTTCAGGGCAGTCCTCAAAATAAATAAGGAGAGAAACAGGTAGACTGGATTGTGTTATTCTACACGTTATTTCATTCAGGCCATTCAAAGAGGCACACTATGAACTCAAATCTAACAATTACCCTCACTAACAGCTGACAGATGTTGACTGAAAACAGACAAATATACAAAATCAACCTGTAAAAAAGTAAACAAACAATTCTAAAATAATCAGCTTTAACAAATACATTATTTCTTTAGCATGTTCTATTTGTAGAATGCAAGATCAAATTACATTTTCAGATACTACTGACCATCACCACATGAAACTTGGTCTAATCCAAATGATTTGCAAAAGTGAAGCATTTTACCCCAAAAATATAATGTACTTTGTGTATCAGTTTGTGGACGTGGTCATATCTGGGCAGAATTTCCATTTTCAGGCACATTTTGTGTGATGTAGAGGAGGTACGTAGAAATTAAAAGCAGAGCAGTGAGGAACAGAAGGATGACTGTTGACATTGTGTTGAAGAGGTGACCATACTCGTAGCGAAGATACCACATCACAACCATCACACAGTACAACAGAGGTGCCTAAAACAAATAAAATCACTTGTGATCAAGTGAAACACTATCATTACTGACTACTGATTTTCTCATATTATCTAACCTTCTCTGAGTCTCTCAGTCACACAATTTTGTTTCCTTAAAAAAAGTCAAACACACTGGCTAAATTGTTACCAAAATGAAACAACAAACACTTGCTTCAAACTGTCAGGGAAAAACTTGCAATGACCCAAGTAGAATAGAAGGTTGGAAAATAAATGGAAATAAACAAGACAAAAAATTATTAGCAATTATACATGGCTTTTAACCATATGCAAAATGTAGTTAAACTACAGGGATGCACTAGCTGTGTAGGGATGTAAGACAAGGCCTTGTCAGTAGTGATTGAGAGCTGATGTAGGTGTTACGCCCCTCGTTTGTGAACCTTCTAGGTCAGGTATGATGTATGTGTAACAGGCTTTTTCACTTAATATTATATTATTTCTAGCCTCATTAGAAGCTAAAATGAGGATAGAGTACTTTATAATATTATCTGGCCTTAATTTATTTAGCTGTGTAAATAGATAGGATGTTTCGATGATGTAAACTATGGGTACAGTTGTTTACTACCCGGCTGTCGTTTAGCCACTGTCCCCTCTTAATCCGAGGTGACGTCAGTCTGAGAATTCTGTTATAGGGCAGTCTACTCTCACCTTCCGTGAGAGAAGCTCCTTGATTCCTGGATTTAACCTTCTGGTCCCACATGAGGTTCCCTAGTAACCCTCCAGCACCTCTAACGGTATCAGACAGAAACGTCTCGAACGAAGTGTGTGTTGCTGTATTGGAGACGCTGGTGACTGTCCCTAGCTCTGCTAGGAGCGGGTTTAAGTGTGTTGCTGTATTGGAGACGCTGGTGATTGTCCCTAGCTCTGCTAGGAGCAGGTTTAAGCAGTATTGGTTCAAAGAGGACGGCGAAAAAGTCATGGGAGACAGACTCGCCTCAGAACTCCTTTAAGTGTAGAATACATTGGTCCCTCAATAATCGTCCGGCCTGAAAGTCGTCCATTTCGGAAATAGTCCTGTTTTTTCGTCAAAATATTGGCTCGCAAATGGTCCAGTAACTCGCTAATAGTCCTAATAGTCCTTCGTCTTGGACGCGTACTCACGCTCTGAGCCGCCTCGGCCTTTCCTTCCCAGCCAGTGTGCCATTGTTTACCAGTGAGTGACGGTCCCCTCACATGCTCCTACGAAATATTTCATAATATTCCATTGATTTTAGTGCTTGCAAGTGCTAAATAAGCTACCATGGCTCCAAATAAAGCTTCTAGTGCCAGCCCTTTGGTAAAGTATGTGAGAAACACATAATTTATGAAAAAGTTTGTAGAAAAATACAAAGATGGTGGTGGTAGAGTGGAAGCAGTTGTGATAGTGGTTGATGAACATAAGAAAGGAGTATCACTGCAGCAGGCCTGTTGGCCCATGCTCGGCAGGTCCTTTACAATTCATCCCACTAATGAAACATTTTCCCAACCCAGTCCTCAATGCTACCCAAGAAATAAGCTCTGATAACTCTATCCACTCATTTGGGACTTGCAAAGGACCTGCCGAGCATGGGCCAACAGGCCTGCTGCAGTGATCCTCCTTTCTTATGTTCTTATATTCTTATGTTCATCAACCACTGTCACAACTGCTTCCACTCTACCACCACCATCTTTGTGTTTTTCTACAAACTTTTTCATAAATTATGTGTTTCTCACATTCTTTACCAAAGGGCTGGCACTAGAAGCTTTCTTTGGTGGTAGTGATGGTGGTAGAAGGTAGTAGTGATGGTGGTAGAAGGTAGTAGTGATGTTGGTAGAAGGTAGTAGTGATGGTGGTAACAGTTGTAATAGTGGTAGAAGGTCGTAGTGATGGTGGTAGAGGGTCCCTTCTTTAGTGATTCAGCGATTCTACCAACTCCTCCAATGTTGTTGGAGTTATATAGGGCTACAAAAACCACCGCCGCCTCACCACCATTATGGACGGCTTACACTCAGTGGCCCTTATATACCCAACAACAACACAACACAACACCTCTCGTGACATACGTAATGACTTATTTTATTCATTCTAGAGTATATTCCATGTTTTTATGTTATTAATATTGTTTATTATGTCATATTAGTTGAATTGTGATAGATAAATAAGCCATAGAGTTGATATTAGTGTCATATTCTCCAACAATAAACTTGCCATCCCTCCCTCACAAACAAATAGCCAGTAAAAACATAACAATGGAAGAACACTGCAGGTCTACTGGCCCATACAAGACAGGTCCTTATCAAAATGACCTCCACCCAAAGCTACCCAAGAATTTACTCCCTTACCCAATGACACAAATCAAACTCAGCTCCTCCAACTCGTATATTTGTCCAATCTCTTCTTGAAGCTACCCAAAGTCCTAGCCTCGATCACCCTACTGGTAAGTGTGATGTTAAATAAGAACTTAAGAAAGTAGGAACACTGGAACAGGCCTGCTGGCCCATACTAGGCCGGTCCTTCACAAATCCAACCCACTAACAGAACAAATGCTACCCAAGCAATAAACTCAGGTGCAAGTCCGACTCAAATCCAACCTCTTTCACTCGTGTATTTATCCAACCTAAATTTGAAACTACCCAAGCCATAGCTTTTAGAACATTGGAAAGGAGGAACACTGCAATAGGCCTATTGGCCCATACTAGGCCGGTCCTTCACAAATCCAACCCATTAACAGAACAAATGCTACCCAAGCAATAAGCTCAGGTGCAAGTCCGACTCAAATCCAACCCCTCTATCTCGTGTATTTATCCAACCTAAATTTGAAACTACCCAATGTTTTAGCTTCGATCACCCTACTAGGCAGACCGTTCCACTCATCAACTACCCCTATTACCAATGTTCATTTATACATTTTATTAGTGCCCTAGAGTCCTTATGGAGGGGATTCCCCTTCCAAATAACCTCTCTTCCCTCTCTCCTCCTCCCTGTCTTCCATTCATCAACAACAGCCTTCAATAAAGGTAACTGTCATGCTGAATGTTCATTCTTTTGTGCATGTAAATCTATCTTTTAGGTAAAAAAAAAAATTGTTGTTGATACTTCTGGGTGTCCGGAACGAATTAATTGGATTTACATTATTTCTTATGGGGAAAATTGATTCGAAAATCGTCCATTTCGATAATAGTCCCACTTCCAGGAATGGATTATGGACGATTATTGAGGGACCACTGTATTCCTAATCTCACTTAGTATATTTTGAAAGTTAAATAAGAGTGAATTATTATCAAAGTGTTACGTTTTCTGTCTCATTGGGATTGAGTCAAGCAGTGTTATTATGTGAAGTGAATGTGTTATGATACTAGAGCCATTCAGTACTATAATCAAGACAGAATATTGTGTATTATCTTTTAAGTGAACTCAAGTGTAAATTTCATGAGTTCTGTTTTTTGGTGTGACCTTTTTAAAGTTAATATAAAACCCTTCTATGGTTTATTAAGAAACTTAATAAAAAGCCGGGAAGAAACATTGTGATTGTTTACTACTGAACCCTTGAATGATTTCATTTAGAACAGGATATTCAATCCTGTTTATTTGATGCAAGAAAGGGCTAAACAGGCTTAAATAGTTGCTCTTTATGCAACAGTAGGTAACAGCTCTTAGCTTGTCAATAAAGTTAGGAATCCTTAAATTGTCAGTTGCTTGTCAATAAAGTTAGGAATCCTTAAATTGTCAGTAGCTTGTCAATAAAATTCGGAATCCTTAAATTGTCAGTAGCTTGCCAACAAAAGTTAGGGATCCTTAAATTGTCAGTAGCTTGTCAATAAAAGTTAGGGATCCTTAAATTGTCAGTAGCTTGTCAATAAAAGTTAGGGATCCTTAAATTGTCAGTAGCTTGTCAATAAAAGTTAGGGATCCTTAAATTGTCAGTAGCTTGTCAATAAAAGTTAGGGATCCTTAAATTGTCAGTAGCTTGTCAATAAAAGTTAGGGATCCTTAAATTGTCAGTAGCTTGTCAATAAAATTAGGGATCCTTAAATTGTCAGTAGCTTGTCAATAAAAGTTAGGGATCCTTAAATTGTCAGTAGCTTGTCAATAAAAGTTAGGGATCCTTAACCCTTTCAGGGTCCAAGGCCCAAATCTGGAGTCACGCACCAGTGTCCAAGAATTTAAAAAAAAAAATTTGTTATTTTTTCTTATGAAATCGTAGAGAATCTTTTTGTGAAGGTAATAAAACAAAAAGTACGAAATTTGGTGGAAAATTGACGAAATTATGCTCTCGCGAATTTTGATGTGTCAGCGATATTTACGAATCGGCGATTTTGCCGACTTTGACTCCCATTTTAGGCCAATTACATTATTCCAATCAACCAAATTCTTAGCTATTTCACTAGTATTACTTCTATTCTATCGATTGAGCACAAGAAATCGCCAAGTCAACTGTTTCAACTACAAAATAAAGTGATCAGAAATTGTTAATTTGGCCAATTTAACACAAAGTTCAAAATATTCCAATTTCAAAATAGGGTCCAGAATGAACAATGTAGGCATTCCTGGCACTAAACTAACATTTCCTCTGTTCATTAGTTATGTTTTGAGGCTTTACAAATTAATTCCATTTTGATTTTTTATTCACATAATGAATTTTTATTCACACCAAAAAATAGAAGATTTACTGTTATGCAATACTGTAATAATTGTATAAATATCATCATCATATTTGTGAATGTATATTAGACCCACCAGCTGACGTGTATTAGACGTGTGAGGTCGTTTGTTTACTCTTGAATATCGGCAAAAATTTAACATTTCCGCTATTTTGAGCTCAGTTTCAGGCCATTTCCAATGCTAAAACCAATCAAAATCATCTCTATTTCTGTAATATGTCTTCCATTCTATCAAATGAGCCCAAGAAATCGAAAATACAACCAAAAAAAACATACGAAAAAACACTGCAAAGTTGCTGTTTTAATCGAAAAATCATGATTTCATTTTTTTCTCTCATTATACACAATGTGCTGCAGGATCTGT